GATTGTTGCGTTTTTAAATTTCTCCGGCTTAATGTGTGGACCGAAAACATTTGATGCTTTTTCAGGGTGAATATTCTGTTTTCAAATTCCTCCAGCGTAGTCTGGGCGGTTGCCTAGTCTTTGAAGTCTTTTCTGACTGATAGATGACTAATTAACGAAGTTGTTTCTTATTCTATTACTTTCTGCTTCCATCGTTTTAGCGCTAAATCCAACTGGTGCAGGTCAACTCCAACTGTGGGCTTCAGCTACCGGGTCCGTCCCGAATAGAGATGCAGAAATTTATTTACAACTGCCAAGACCTATCACTAATATTCGCTTTAGAGAAGTCCGCTTTTATTTTAGTGTTAATGAGTCTTGCCGATATGTTGACTGATATAAAGGATCAAAATTCTTAATTGCTCTATCACAAGTTCTGAAGGACTGGTTAACTTTCTACTACTCGCTTGGAATACAAAGATCACTCTCAAATCTTTTGGCTTGACTCCATAGCGGTGAGTGCTTTAAGTCGAAACTATCAAAAGAATTCAAAAGAATTCAAACTGCAAAACAGAAATAAAACAAACGATTCAAATGATGGTTCTTGCCCTGATAATATGTTTGCTTTGAAAGTTATTCAACAAAGATTACTTGCTTAGTGGAAGCAGTTGATTTATAGAGTTCTTTGTTGACTTTTCAGTGCTTGCAAGAACATCACGACCGCCGAATAATTGAAAATAGGAACGTGAAATTTTGCCCTTTTTAACGGAGAAATATTACACAAGCGCTTTCCGGCCTTCTCTTAGAAATGTTCTTTAACTGCAAAAGTAGCTTCGTCATGAACCAGAAAGGTTCTGCTAAAAATCTCATGTTAGTACTTGGTTGTCAAGCGGTCAAGCTACGGTACACAAAGAACAAGTATTTATCAACTTACCGGCTGTGCCTTTGGAACAGGCACGATGTCTTCCAAAGAAACTCCATCCAGCTTCCACAACATTATTTGTGCCTTCGTCTGGAAGATTCCAGGAACAAACAGCTAATATACCTCCAAGATCGGGTAGTAATGTTGTGTTTTAAGTCACGTCCATTATCTTCTCATTCTGTTTCTGTAATCATTATACTTCTCGAGTACATTTCATTTATTCGCGTGGATTAAGTAATCACGCGGCAAGATAGATAGGAGGGTGTGATTGGTCCTTACAGCGCTTTGATACCAGGCCTCTTGGCTTGTGCAAGAGATGAGATCATGGAGAGAGTCTGAAGTCAAGAAATGATCTTCGCAGTTGTGTTTTCTTTTAAAAACTGTTGTCTGTCGGCCATCGGATAGAGCCCAAGGTTTGTATTCACAACAGGTCTGATCCCATGTAGTGTTCGTTGCTTCGCAACTCAGTCTGTAAAGTTTCTCAGCGTTAACCCTGTCGATTCTCTGAATTCTTGTCCAATCCATTACATTAATTGATTAAAGTCGGGTGAAAGAATTTTAAAATGATAGATGAGTTCTATTCTTTTCCCAAAACACAGGTATTCCTTTTTTATTAGAAACCCCCTACTTATTTAAATGGCAAATGTGAAAATGCTCTAATTTAAATTTGTTGAAAAAATTTTGAAAAACTGTATTTACCAGAAAAGTAGCAAGTGTCGAAAGGATAGTCATAACATTGTTCACAAAGGCCCACACTTTTTTCACGTTTAAACACATGTTCGGTCAGAAACTTCTGTCATTGTCGGTTCTAGTGTTGTTTAAATTTGAAGTCATAGCTAACAAAATTTATAGCAAATATGTCATGACCTTATCTCTATACATATTTAATATAGAGAGAAACGGTATGACAAAGGGTGTTTCTTTTTAAATTAGAATATCAAGTCTTCTATGACCGGAATAATAACATCAGTTTAGAGCAAAGGAAAACTGATGACAGCTATTAAAGTTCCGAGGTACGTCCTAGTTTATCAGTGCTCTGCAGAGTCTTTCACTATCCTACACTACGCCACCACAGTGTTTTAATTAATTGAGAGAAAACTGTTTCGTGACCAGCCATTACATTGTGTTTGTTCCCTTTGTGTTGAAACGTTTTTCCCAAGCCTTCCTGTGTTCTTATACCTGTGTTCTTATACCTGTCTTGTAACTGTTCTTTTGCTGTTAGCGTTTGTCATCGTCGCAGTTACGTTAGTTACTCTATTGAAAAAGTAAGACCTATTGTCAAACGCTATGGAAAAGAAAAATTCACAATTACCAACATTGTAACTAGCGACAACAGAAGGTTTTACCCAAACATGTGTTTCAATTTTAAAAACATTGTCCTTTTATGCTGTTTTTAGCACGTCCTTTAACAAAAATGCCATTAATTTTCCCCATCTTGCCCGTTTGCAAGAAAGTTTAATAAAACTGACACCCAAGACTTTTTCATTCCCAGTAGTTGGGCTTTATAGAAAACTTGCTTTCATTACTGTAATTATAAAACAATCGTCATATGATTTTGTATTATTTCGCCACTGAGATAATCTTCAATGACTAGACGCTCTAAGAGTGTTAACTTAGGCTTCGTACCGCAAGTAAGTGTACCGAACACACAAAAAAACTTTACATTGTGTCTAGATACCCGGCAGCCGGGAAGTGTTTTCAGAAAACTAATACTAGATACCTGGCAGTCTGAAATTATTATATTATTATATTATTTAGTCTGAAATTATTATATTATTAATTTAATTTTTTTATTTGACCTTAGAAGTTACTTACAATACTCACTTACAAAAACATACACATATAATACACAGTGGACCTCTTTACAGATATTACACACACTCTTTTTTAACATTATAACGACAAGCTAGCGCAGTACAACATTATAATTGCATTAGTTTTCAATATACTTGCCCCATTTTTTTAAGATGGATGGGCAACTTGTTACAAGATTTGGTGACCATCATTTCAAGTCGGTGAATCATCTTAATCCTAGCGTTTAATACTATAATGATGGTTTGGTTTTATTACATCTGCAGGAAAAAAAATTTTTTTTTCGCAATCAACAAAATATCGTTTACAAATAAATCTCTTTTACAATCCATTATACCAAACATTATGTCTCTATTACAAAGAGGTTTAATTTCAATATCTAGGTTGCCCATCCATTTTATAACTTCTGCCTAGAATTTCTTGGTGTAATGGCAAGTTACAAAAAGATGTTCAAGAGATTCGTCTGCTTCTCCACAAAAAGGGCAAGCTGGAGATGGAATTATCCCAATTTTGCTAAGGAGGACATTCGTGGCAAGACATCTGTTGAGAAGTTTATATTGAAATTCGCGCGATTTTTTGTCCAAGGCACTAGCTTAGACAAACTATAAAATCTCGATTTTTGACATTTTGTCCACAATGAAGATAATATTTTTTCAGAAATGCCAAGCGACTCTAAATAATGTTTTGGTTTTGTAGTGGACGAATTCTCCTAGCCATACTATAAAAATCTTGACTCACGGCAGGTTGTTCAAATAATAGCTACCCGGCGGTTAAGGATAATCAATTTCCACAAAGATTATCGTTATTATTTGAAAGCCCCCGAGAGTATTTGAGTATTTTGATCTTTGGTCATAAACACCACACGATCATGTTATTCAATGATTTGAGTTTGCAAGTTGTCCGATGAACGTTGTGTGACTGACAGGCACGGTTTTTAAAAAAAAAACAAAAAAAAAACTATATAAACCCGCCATTCAGAAATTCTTTCCATTTTTCCAGCGAAATGTCCATTCGAATCTGCTGAGAATGCTCGATCTCTGTGTAGAAATACCTATGGATTTCCGAACTGCAATTGACCACAGAAGCCCTGCCTCCTGAGAGAAACCTGAGTAATAACTGTTGCCTTATATGCATTTATAGCACTTTTTAGATTATGGACATGAAATTCGACAGTTTTTTTTAATTACTAGTAATTTTTACTTGATTGCTAAGGGAATGCAATACAAGAAATGTTTTTAGAATAAACATTTGCAAGTAATTCTTTTAGTTCTTTCTGCCAATCAAGAAGCACAGTTTTTATTTTCGTGTTTTTTTTTTTGAAAGCAGAATATAAATAAATGATATCCCTTCTTAGAGATGAGCGCGTTTGTGTTGAAATATGTTTGTTAAGCACGAGTTTAAAAGTATTGTTTTTTTCTTGTTTAAACAAGATTTAATTGAAATTCTGTCTTTTATTTAGAAAGTGTTATACATAAAACATCACACTAATTAAAACAAAGACAGTTCTACAAATCAAGCGTGTAAAACATGCATATATTTCCTGTCGTCTTTGCTGTGCTCGCTGGTAAATTTGCATTCAATTCAAATCAATTTCTCTTGCAGGAGACACGCAGAAACAACCTGCTGCAACATTTTCGATTCTATCACGACATCTTGCAGGACCCCAACCGCAGAGAAAAGAGATTATCTTTTGACACAGTTGCCTATTGAACCTCCTATATAACAACTTTACATTTTCGCGCAAGTTCGTTCGTCAGAGTTCCCTGGGGGCGTAAATATTTCTAAAGGTTTCCAGTTGCTTAGATTCTGCTTCTTCACCCAGTATTTGGTATTTTGCGCCGTGTTTAAAGCAGTTTCACCTACGAAATCTTTGCTGAGGAACGGCAGCAAAATTTTGAAACGTTTCGTGAAAATTTTCCAAATGACAGAGAAGTGCACTCTTGTGTAAAGAAAAAAACGCGCCAGCGGGTTCGTCGAGAGGCGCTTCAAGAACACAAGAATTTGGAAACTGACTTCAAGCTGAACGAGACGATACCTTCTGCGGAAATGGAGAAAAGCACGCTTGTATCACCTACGACCGTCTCGGGGAACTTTTCAACGACGCTAACCCCTACAAATGGAACTTGTAAGTTGAATATTGCTTTACTTTTGTGCTGAGAGCGAAATTAATTTGTTGATTTTGAGTCTGTTGGCTCGGACGGGAACTGTTTAGATAAAAAATAATTGGTGCTTAACTCCGTTTTGCCTTAACATATCACCCACAATTCAGAGCTAAACAACGGAAATAAACCCTGGAATAGTTTCGCCTGAGGATGGTTTTAGTCAAAAGTGCAATGGATTTACTATTGTTCACCTTTGCAAGCTGATAATCAGAGCTGGGCTTTAATGAATTCAAATTAGAGTTAAAAGGAGTATTGCGTCGAACCCTTCTCATTGCAAACAATAGCTTGAAATATGGAACACGTGCACTTTACTAAGCAAGAGCATTTCCAGTTCTTCTTAAAATCAGAGAGATTCTGCTAAGGAAATCTTTAAGATTTTATCGTCACAATATCATCCGTTATCTTTCATTCGAGCCTGGTGATCTTGATTACAACCTCTCGGCCACGAAAATGTAAATTCCCAGGCGGCCGATCTCCTGCCAGCAGTGTCCCCAATTAGCACAACAGTGCTAGTTGTTCTTTAGCGCGCAAATTATGAATTTGTTTATCTTATCCCGCTTTCAATATCTTCTGAAAGGGATTTGAAATAATTTTTCAAGTTTATGAGCTACAATTTTGATATCTTATCTAATTATCATATTATGGAGCAGTCTGCGTTCTCAAGTGCAATGTCCTTCCCGCCTGGCAGGAAGGAACTTGATGTCTGTACTCGCGCTAATTAGAAGAAATATGACTTTTATTTTCTTTGGATGGAAAATGACAATCACTGAGTTTTTTTAGTATTTGGCTTTTTGTGCAAGGGTAGACTGTACTGCTTAGTTGACTTTTGTGAGTGATAATCTCTCAAAGGTGTTGTACAATGTATACAATACGTTCTTTGATATTGCGTTTTAAGAGTCGAGACATACTATTTGCATACTTTACTCTCTGGCTTATATTTTTGTGCTCGTAATGCGAACATGTAGTAATAAAAACGTCGAAAGAAATCTAAAGCCACCTAATTTGAAAAACCAATATTTAATTTTCAAAACTCACGTCACACGTTCTTAGAATTAGAGCTAGAATTTTAGTGTAGCTCAGTCAAGGTATTTTGAGTTATTCAAGCCAAGTACAAAAATACTTTTAAATTGAAGGAAACCTTAAAATAATTGTTTACTAAGAGAGCAAAACACTAAGGAGATAATAATAAATCATAAAGGAACAAGGATGGTTTAAGAATGGAGAAGATTGACACGGATTACAAACGAACTCAAAACATTTAGGCTAAACTTTTCAAGATGTGCAAACCATGACGTAGCTCCTTTAAAATATCGACATGGCCAAGTTAAATATAGAACAGCCTTGGAAAACACATGGTTCATTCTTAATGGCTTATCAGTGAATACGTTTTTTTTCTTGCAGTGGTCGACAAGTACGGAGGCGCAGCAATAGCCTTTGTCACTGGAAGTAAGACTGGAATGATCGTAGGAATCGTGGTTGCCATCGTTATAGTCATAATAATAGCACTGTGTATCCGCCAAGCTATTAAGGGACTCAAAGAAGCGAAGGAGAGAGCCTTGATCAAGCTTGGAGCTCTGATAAAGAAAGAGGAAAGCGTGGAGTTTCCCGATGCTGCGCTGGATATGGAGTTAGCAGCGGTCCAGCCGGCCACGGGGGATAAAAAGAAACTGGTGAGTAATTAATGTCAATTGTAAAGTTCTTAAGGCAGCGTTCACACTACGCCGGAGAAATTTGAAAACGCGGCTTTATTTCTACGGTTAGGCCTACAGTCCACACTAATCCGTCATGAAAACGGAGCTTTTCAAAAACGCTTCTCAAACCGGAGGAATTTGAAAACGTCGGCTTTTTTTCGAACACAAATCCAAAATGACCGGTGATTGTTGCGATTTTAAATTCCTCCGGTCTAAGACGAGGGTGTAGATGGGATTAACTGATACCCGAGAATCAGTCAAAATAATAAACAATTATTGGATGAGGTTTTTGTGATATCCGGAATAATCAAGGTCGAGGTAAGTGTTACCAGCCTCAGCCTTCGGATTCGGCTGATAACACTAACCGAGACCTTGATTATTTCGAATATCACAAAAACCGAATCTAATAATTGTTTTATTACAAAATGTTTTAAATAAAATAACGACAAAGCCATGTTCTTACTTCGCTGTCCGTGAACTTGACATTGGTTTTGGAATTGCGTGCGCAACGTACAGATTATTCACTAATCTGCCAGCAGATTAGGGAATAATCTGTAGGTTGCACTGTTTCCCAGAATTAACTATAGGGTTCTAGCCAATAAGAAGACAGATGATGACTAAAATGTATAATAATAACTGTTAAGTGATAGCGGAGCTCTGAGGTCTGCAAAAGTTTCTGATAGGTGAGAAATATGTTGAAAAATGGAAAAAGTGTGGTCAGGAGATGTCATAAGTTCTTCATATCACTGATGAAGGCTTAAGCATTAGCCGAAACGTTTGTTGAAAAATATCAAGAGTTAGTGGCAAACCTTTTTCCATAGAACTTAGGTGAGAAATATAATGGACTGAAACTGTTGACTGGGGAATTGCACTCGAGATTACCACAGCTCTATCCAGACCCTACAAAAACAATCCTTTTCATCTCTAAAATTATTTCAGACTCAGAAAACAAAGCTGATAACATAAGCTGACGTTTTCAAGTTTGCTTTGCGACATACAAACTGGTGCGTAATAACAGCCAAGGAAACCGTATAGTCTAAAGAAAAATCTTCCAGAATACACAGCAAAAGAAAGCACGAATTGCGGACCTACTCTCGTCTGCCATGCTCTTAGACACCAATACTGATTTCTTTCCCTCCCTGTTTACATGTATTTAATGTTTGGTGTTGCGGATGAAACTAAGAATTAGGTATATCATTTCAGTTTTAACTTACCGTTACAGCTTGTTTCTAAACAATAAACTACTTACCTAGAAATTCTTAAACCCTAGATGCTCGAAATAGAAAGAGATAACCTTTTTCGTAGTGTGTGTAAGGTTAGAGGACAGATTAGCGGAACGATCATCAGTTTCTACGAACCGTATGTGAGCGAATTAACAGATTATTTTATTTCTGGCAGGAAAATCTTGGAAAGATCAAGTTTTCTCTTGCCTACGACGAAGAACAGTAAGTGACGACGTTTTCTGTAACAATCAAAGTGTACTTATGTACTGAGAATTCGATTAGAAGAACAATGCGACCGAATGTTTGAGACGTTTGCTACTTTGGAATATGTTATAGGACTTGCAGCTTCACTATTATGCCTTGCGTTTGTAGCCGATATAATTAGCGCTCTGATTGGCTAATTATTACCCCGTAATGCCCAGAGGCGGATTATGGACCGGCAAAAACAAAGCAAAAAGCCATATAACAAACAACTTATTGAGCTTTATAAAGCTCGATCGTTCGGTCTTTACGGGAAATTCTCAAACTTTGGGCCTTGCCATCGCTCGGTCAATACCGCAAGGTTTCGGTTTGAGATTTTTCCGTTAAGACCTCACACTTGGTTAATAAGAAGTAAGTATCTGTAAAACATTTCATCTTGCCAACGAAAGCCACTTTTTCAATCGATCGATCAAGAAGTTAGCATCGCTCTGATGTATATCAAGTATATTTACTTCTTTTCTTTTTGCAGATCTGAACTAAGAGTAAAAGTTTACCACTGTCAGAGTCTTCCAATGAAGTTTGTCGGGGGAACGGTGTACACGTATGTTGAAATAGAAATGTTTCCTTTTCATCGCATGACTTCAAGTAAACCGCGAACAAAATACATCAGAAATGAATTTAGTCCAATCTTTAACGATGAAGTTTGCATCAAAATACTAAAAGAAGAAGTGGACGATCAAAATATGTATCTTCACGTCTGTGACTACAATCAGATATCTACCAGGGATTTGATTGGCTCTTACAAGATAAACCTCGATGACGTCAGCTTCAAGAGCAAAGGCAAGGAGACTGTGTACGAGGGAGATCTGAGATGGATTGATTCGGTGAGTCACGCACTATTTTTTTGTTGTATTGTCGTCTCGTGACGATTCAAATGATGGCTGTTAAAAAAACTTCCCGGAAATCGTCGTGAATCGGCTTGTTTAAGGTGTTTGGATCTCAGGGCTTGCACTGCAAGGCATCCATATCACCCATTGTCTGTGTCACAATGCCCAGTTGTTTCTCGCCATACATAATAATAATGCCACCTTTCTTTCGCAACGTCCCTTTTCTACCGTACTGTGTCTGTCTCAGCTTTAGCCTTTTTCCCGCCATAATGCGCCCCATCCGTCCTCCAGTTGCTTTCCCGCCAGAAACGGTCCATGTCGGTCGCAGCGCTAGCTATATATAGCCCTTTCCCGCCAAAACTCCTCACAAAGTCAAAACCTATTTTAGCAACCAACAACAAATTGAATTGTATAAACTCTTGTTCTTGGGCCATCGAAGTTTGATTAAAAATATAACACCAACAGCGGTGATAAACATTGTACTGCAACTTCATAAAACGCGCGTTACAGTTTGGAAAATTGTTATTACTTGGCAGGTTCGTGGTGCTGAGCGAGGAGATATTCTAATATCAATGCGATACTTTGAGGGAAATAGTCAGCTTATTGTCAAAGTTAAGGAATGCAAAGGATTACAACCCTCCCCTGGGAAGGTGTCTTGTAGTAAGTATAATACATGACTCTCCCGGTCTTGTCTGTATTGTTGTTTTTGTTTGTTTGTTGTTGTTGTTCTTCTTCTTCTTCTTCGTCTTGGTTTCCTTTCCTTTCGTCTTGAATGAAAGAATGAATGAATGACTGATTGAGTAAATGAATAAACTTTGTTAAAGTGTCGGGAGGGATTTAGCTATTGCAGCTAACATGTGAACACTCTACCTTAAATTACCTTATAACACAGATTCATATGTGAAGCTTCACCTCGTTCGTGGTTCAAAAGTCTTTACAACAAAGAAAACAAAAGTGATCAAGAAAAACCTTGAGCCAAAGTTTGAACAAGAAATGATCTTCATTGTGGAGCAGGATCTCCTAGACGAAGTCAACCTCGTCATACACGTCAAAGACAAGCCGCTGATTGGTCGAAAACGTTTGATGGGCGAGCTTTGTATTGGTTGCCAAGGAGTCGGTCAAGCTCTCGCCCAATGGCAGCTCATGGTCGAGAAAGAAGTCACAATGTGGCACCAACTTGAACTGTTGAATATAGTACCGGGCAAAACCGATCTTCAGACAACTATGGCGACATTACAGGGGTGGGAATCAACTTCGGAAGACGAAAGCGAGGAAGAAGAAGGAATGTTTACCGGGTTATTGCCTGGCGGCTTGTTTTCTGCTCAGGACAGTAAAGCAACAAAGAAGCCGAAAAAACCAAAAATATCCAAGAAACAGTCAAAGCTTTAACCGCTTCATGGACAAAACTATGGAGACACTGACGCTCTTAATAATTTAAGTATTGAAAGTACTGACACGCTATTGTTTGTCCCCCTTTTGATTTTTATAATGCTGACATTGCCATTTTGTTACTAACTGCACACTGCTAGGCTACTCACTATCTACAACAGAATAGATAGTGAGTAACGTAGCTAATGGAAGAACGGCATTTGTGATAGATCTTTAGCACATTTATACTAATTTCGCTAAGTGCACGATTCCCTGCACAAAATATGACGTCGGAGCCAGTGCTCGATTAGGATGCAACTTTACCACATGCAATAAGCTGAAGATATCGAAAGAAAAGTGTAAGACATGAAATTTTACAGTCCGGGCTATGTCGGCCATAAAATATGACTTCAACATGACTGGATTTTAGTAAAGATACATTGGCTGGGCATCCGCAAGATGTAGTTGCTCTTTACGATAAGTAATATAAACAACAAAACATAATTAGTTGAACGCGAGACACCAAAATGAAAGGACCTGCCGTGTGCAAATTCAACTCAAAATGAAAAACTTAACTGAAATGTAGAAATTACAGGAATTTAATGTTTCAAAATCGTAAATTATATTATTTAGGTTTGTAAATAGCTACCACTTTACTTCTTGTATGTGTGATATCCTAATTTATTCTTATTACATTCACCTTTTTCATGAATGTGAATATTGCGCATCGTACTGGCTGAACTCTGTCGATTTGCTGGGTTAACTACCGAACAACCTCAAAGTTTGCTCAATTAAACTCGCTAAAACCGAATAAACGGCCAAATAATGAACAGCCAAACGAGCACAAAACGAACGAAGGCCCGGCCGAACAAAAAGACGGCTGAGAGTGCAAAAAACATCTCTGCTATGAAATGAAATCAAAACGTATAAAATGAAGTTCCCGCCATTTCATTTAGTTTCGAGAAAGTCGCTTGGGCTGTCCAGGCATCGCGCGTGTAACATCCTCGGAAGAACTGGGTACCATGTTTAAAAATAACTTAAGAGGGATTACTTTAGATAAAGGACCTATATGGGGGATTCACTCTCTTACCTTGATGATCTCTTGTCCAAGCTTACCTACTTCTCGCATGCTCTCACCTTAACGTACGCAAAAGTAGCATAGAATAGGCAATATCTTATAGCAAAGGTTGAGGAGTAAACTACAGCCCACGTTTTTTTAACTATAATTTCTAACCGTAATATCATGAGTATCATAAATGCAATTTATGATTTTAAAAATTAATAGATTTGCTCCTTTTTTTGTACATGTCACGTTTATTTGTGTTTTGCACGAGTTTCTATACAAGCTACAAGTAAATGAAAAAAAAAATCAAAAACGTATTTCTAAAATAAAAAAGAACATGAATTAATTTAAGATTTTTTCTTCGTTTTTGTATGTTTATTTACGAAAAGGTTGCTAAATAAACGGTCAAAACCATTGAAGTCAATTTTTACGGCTGTGGAAACGGCTTCGAACCGTGATAAAGCACTTCCCAGTATATTAGAAATTGTCCTGAGGCGAAAAGGTTACTGACTTCTTAGTCTCGAAAGGAAGTTTGGGCCCCTTAGAGTATTCCTGAACATAAAGATGGCTTTTGCTAGGGGAGCGTCCACACTAAGCCAGAGAAATTTGAAAACGCAGCATTGTTTATACGGTTAGGCCTACCGTCCACACTAATCCGGCACGAAAATGGAGCTTTTGGAAAACGCTCTTCGAACCGGAGGAATTTGAAAACGCTGACTTTTCGTTTTCGTGTAGACGGAAAACATTTTGAAAACGGAGCTTTTCGAAAACGACGGCGTCACGATAATGAGTATCCCTGACCGACTTTTCCTCAAACACAACTCCAAAATGGCGCGGTGATTGTTGCGTTTTTAAATTCCTCCGGCGTAGTGTGGACCGAAAACAATTGATGCGTTTTCAGGGTGAAACCTCCGTTTTCGAATTTCTCCGGCGTAGCGAAACAACTCATGGCCGGTTTCATATTAGGTGATGGGCATTAGTTGAAGAGCTTTTCTCCTTCCCTGTGATGTGGTAAGTTCTGGCTGGCGCGATTTGTAAGATTGTTTCAATTTATCAAAATTCCCTGAAATATGAATAACAATGAAACAAGATTTCCTGAGAGAATATGCTTCTTGAAACAGCTGTCGAAAAAACAAACTCTTAAAACAATTATTCATTCTCTTGAAAATATCTCTTGACTTCCCGCGTATTGATACCTCCTGGATGCAAAATAATTACAATACCAAGGTTTCATAGTTTATTCAGTTTTTTAAGAAACCGTGATACAATCGCGCTAGCTAATACAAACAAAAATGGTTTTTACTGCAGAGTCGATTTCTTGTCGGGAGTAAATGTACAAAACTCCGTAAACATTTTGATCTATGCAAATCTCAATCGCATGCTGAACTTTGAGATTGTCAATATCACTGAGACATTTAAATGATAAGGGCAAATACTGGTTGTGAAATAGAATAAACAATTAGTGCTTCCCTTCCCCTTGTTATCTGAAATAAAATGTCTTTTAGCTAATTGTAGCGGAGGAAAGAGATGGGATCGAGGGATCATTTTATAACCTGATTTATTGAAGAAATGGAACTTTTGTCCCATTACCGACTGAAAGTTTGATGATATCGGCTGCTCAATTTTTTCTGTAGAATCGTCAGTTCTTACTAGAACGGCAGGATTCCTGTTTTAGAAGAATAAAACAAAAACAAATTGCAAATACGTGATAGAAACAAAATACGCAAGGTTATTGAAATGGACCGAATAGTCCTCACGAATAGGAAATGATATATTTTGTTACAAATCCTCGATTTTATTTTGCCTATAATAAGGCTTTATTTTCTTTAAATAACAGTAGTAATATAATGATAGTGTGGTTTCAAAGTTTTTCTCATCTTAAACAACCAATGATAAAAACCCGCTCGCGACCAAGGATAAAGTTTTATTCAGTCAAGTCTTGTGGACGTTAAAATGGTAGAAAGACGTCTGACTAGGATATTTTGGAATATCACTTCGCTTTGTATGCAAATTTTGAATGGGAACAATTCAATTACTATATCAGGGACTTTTAAGCTTCGTTTACTTTTCATGCTGTTTGTTGATACATCTGTAGTTTCGGCAGCAAGCGTTGTCGAACCTGATTGGTCCACATTTTATCGCGTCCATTGCGTAGCGATCAGTCACTAGCAAAGATTACGTCCGATTAAGACAGTCAGCAAAATTTACCAGCCGCGGAATAAAATGCGGAGGAATATCATGGCGGGAAATCAATACTCGAAGCTTTCACAAGGTGACGAAGAAATTGCCTGCGAGTTTGTCAGACGAGAAAATCAAAGTCACGAAAATGATGCGAGAAGACGTTTGATCACGGCGTGTGTGTTTTGCACGGTTTTCATCATATGTGAAGTTATAGGTAAGTAACTCTTCCAGATATACGGTCCTAGCCGCTGTAATAACAAATAGTAAATGATGCGAGATATCTGCACTAAAAAACCTTTATTCTCTGTTTTATTTCTTACTGCAGAATTGAATACGTTTTTTTCGAAAGCAACGTTTTAATCAATTCATGCAGAAATACGTAACATTTTGAACAAGAAAAAGTTTTTATTCGCCAAAAACGAATATTCTGGTCAATATAAGGGGTTAATTATGCAGAATTTATTTGTCAAATTTAGAGTTCTTGGTTTGGCTCTTAATTCTACAAGTAAGGAATTATTTCCTAACATGCCATAAATTATATTTTTTTATTAGTATACTCAATCTCAACCCAGATGGACTGAACGAGTTGGGATTTGTATCGTTCATAAATATCTTAAAACTGACGGAGAGTTGAAATCCGTCGTAAGTTAAGCGGTTCACAAATTGTAATGATAACGAGGGGTATCTCTTGACAACGGTCTCGCATTGATCATTTCATTCTCAAAACAAGAGCTCTACTTGTTATTTTTCTTTCATAAAAATTATTTATATTTAATGTTGAAAGTTTTCATTTATATTAACACTGAACTGGAATTTAAACCTCGATCTATACACATGCGGTTTCAATGCGGCATTCATAGCATTGTTTGCTATGACAATTTAGTGATAAAAAGCCATTTAAACTTTGGGCCGGGTGTGTTCCTCTTGTTTAAAGTTCTAAATATGTTTTTATTTGCTTGCTTTCTCTTATAGTTCAGCTGGGTTAGTTTATTAAAAAGGTTTTTTGATCGGTATTTCAGTAGCCATGGAACTGAGGACTTTAGATGGCTTTTCTCTTTTGCATTTTAGTGGTTTCTACCAATGAAAAAATATAATTTAAATTACAATGGTTTCCTTGCCCTTTTGACCATTTTTTTTCGATTATTTAATTGAATATCGTTTTTTTAGCGGTTTCACAAAACGTTTCGTGTAATACGTGACCTGAGTCTCAAACGGTACAAATGGGAGAAAATCTCGGCCATCTTTAGAACAGACATTGGCTACTGTTTGTCTGTCACTGACTCGGCGATCTCACTAAAGGAAGAGCCACACTGGGATTGAGCCTTGAAATTCAAAAACTAAAACAAATACAAAAACAAATCGAAAATAAGTGACAAAACTTTAAGAGTGGCTTGTACGAAAATCTAGAGTTTTAAGGTAGCTACGTCTCAGTTTGCGTATCTTGAAAAATTTAGCCTAAAGTTTTCAAGTTTGTCGTTTGAAATATGTTCCTTTGTGGTTTATTATTATACCTTTGGTGTTTTTCACTAACTTAGTAAACTGCTACTTTCACGTTTCGTTCAATTTAAAGGTAATTTTGTAAGTGGCCAAAATAACTCAAAATACCGCGACTGAGCTCCTTTCATATCTGAACCTAAAGCCCGGGCAATAACAAACATATCAAACAGTGCCCTCGTTTCTTTCAGGTGGGTTTCTTGCCAACAGTCTCGCTGTAATGAATGACGCCCTGCACCATTTTTTTGATCTCAACTCACTTCTGATGAGCCTGGTTGCTTCATGGATTGCACGGTGGAAACCAAACGAAAAGAAAACATTCGGATATTACAGAGCTGGTAAAAAATATTTTTTTTAACTCGTTATAAGGCATGTTAATTTTCAGCTCTAACTGACCTTCTTAAATATTCGCTTTGATATACTTATTTTCTCTTGATAATGGCGTCATCATGATTCCGAAACGTCGAGTATTACATCTTTCAGTAATTTTTTCCATGTCTTTGCTTTAGCAAATCTCTTTTGATCAAAAGTTATAAAACATATTTCTAACAACATAATATCTTCGCATACATTAAGGGTGCGTTCCTTTGGGGTGATGTGGATTAGGATCAGTGATCCAAGATCACTCAGATCATGGTTCATCAAAGGAACCGATGAATCCGTGGATTCATCGGTTCCTTTGATGCACCATGACCCGAGTGATCTTGAATCACTGATCCTGATCCACATCACCCCAAAGGAACGCACTCTAAGAGAAGATGAAGGTTGAGAGAGCATATGTCCCATGTAGGCCTTATTTCCAAGGTAATACGCCCTCAGTTATTTTAAGATCACTCGCGGCTTCTGAAATCCAGGAGGGTCTAAAAATAGCTGGTTGAGTGACTCGAATTTATTACTTACGTGGAAAGCCCTGCTTGTTCAACTAATTCATGGTAGGTAAGGTAAAGTCTGCATACGAGCCAAGTGGCCCACCAGGCCGGAGCTTATCCCGGTTTCTGTAGCATGAAGCGACTAGGAGTATTTCTACTCCCCCCTGGATGGGATGCTAGTCCATCGCAGGGTTACCCCCAACATTAAGTTCGCCGGTACCCAGAGGCACTGTGAGAGTAAACTGTCTTGCTCAAGAACACAACACAATGTCCCCGGCCAGGGTTCGAACCCGGACCGCTCGATCCGGAGACGAGCGCACTAACCATGAGGCCACCGCGCCTCTCACTAATTCATACTTTACTCAATACATTACTCACGTAGACAGCCCAAGCTGTTTCACACGCGCATTTTCATTTTCAACGAAACCTTCCACACAACACGCTTGGTAAAGTTATCGATGAGAGGACTGGATACCATGTCTAAAAATAGCTCGAGAGGGATTAACTCCCTTACTCTTTATCTCCTCTTGTAAAGTCACAGGTTGCATGACCCAAGAAATGGATTATGGATGTACTTACAGATTGCAACTGTTTTGTAATTGGCAGAAATCCTTGGTGCATGCGCTGTGATAGCGACGTTATGGCTGCTGACCGGTGTGCTCACGTATGAATCAATTCTTAGACTAACCTCAGGACAAAGCGGTCATCACGGTCACGTGAATTCTGACGCAATGATAGTGACGGCGGCGTTGGCTTTTTGTGCCAATATAACGTAAGTATGCAGATAACTGGAATGTTTCTTTCGATGTCTTTAATCATTTACGTCTTCCCTGAGGGATAAAAGGGCTACAGGGAGCTAAAACAAATCAGCTAATCCCATCTACTCAATAAATGGTTTACAAACCATGATGTTTATTCTGATTTTCAACATCGTCTGCAATCGCCAACTTTTTGCAAAACAGGCCCCAGACTCCATAACTGGCCAAAAACCCTTCTTTTGTTCACTTTAATTTATACGCCTCCTTTCGTCTTGATATTTCATTTTATATCTGCGAACGTAATTGACAAAAGAGAAATTAACTTAGTTTTCCTTTCCTGTTTATAATCCTTGGAAAATAAGTGCATGTTTGAGGTTTCTTTTTCAGCGCCACTGGAATGAGTTATTTCGCTAAAAACTTTGTTTTGAGGGTCGCTCTGTCGTTTGTCCTGTTACCGCTTACTCGACACCTTATGAAGATTGTCCTTATTCTAGCTCTACCTGACTTAGAAAAACAGCTTTAAGCTATACAAGGACAGCTGCAGCGGCACTTGTCATAGGATAGTTTTGTTTCGCCGTGTAGCAAATAAAACTTAAAGAAAATTTGTTCAGCTATACCAGAGATACATCTATGTGTCAAGAAAACATGTCAAGAGAAACATGGCCATAGTTCCTTTGCTGTCAAAACAAGGCTGTGTTCTCGTGTACTGGTAAACAAACGGTTCTTGTGTACCGGTCCACGAGAACAGAACCAACTCATGATTGGCCACTTCTTGTATGCGTTTCTTCCGTAAGAAAGCGAGCCTTTACATTGATGGATGAGGTTTGATAACAGGCGTTCAGTTAGAAGCGCTGCACACTGAGCCTCCCTCTCCTTCATTTCGCTCCGCCTTTTTTTCATGTTGCGCCCAACTAACTGAATGCTTGGAAGAAGCTAGAGGTTTTGAGCGTCAGACAACGCAGGCAGCGTTCACGCTATGTCGGGGAAATTTGAAAACGCAGCTTTATTTCTACGGTTATTCCTAGCGTCCACACAAATCCGCCACGAAAACAGAGCTTTTCGCAAACGCTCTTCAAACCGCTGAAGAATTTGAAAACGCCGGCTTTTCCTTTCAGTGTGGAAAAAAACACTTTGAAAACGAAGCTTTTCGAAAACGATGAGGTCACGATAGTCACGTGATTTCCTGACTGAGTTTTCCTCAAACACAAATGTGTAATGTGGACGGAAAACATTTGATGCGTTTTGGAGTGAAAACGCCGTTTTCAGATCTCTCCGGCGTAGTTTGGACAGGGCCTCGGTTTGCACATGATGCATTTCGTTGAAAACATCTAATTGTCTTTTACTTTACTCGTAGAATTATTTGCTTGTTAAACGTTCATTCTCATCACGGAGATCACCATCATGAGACAAGCATGACAGTCAAGGCCGCCATTCTTCACACTGTTGGTGATGTTCTTCATAGTTTTGCTGTGCTTGTTGGTGCCATACTCATCAAAATCAATGTAAGTTGAGGTCAAATTGATAGAAATTTATTCAGTCTTAATTGTCAACTTGCTGTCAGAATCAAAAGATCTGTATGAACTTGCCAACAACCCCACGATTCGTACGAGAAAGTAACTATGACTAAGAGTGTGGTTGCGAATTTAGGAAAGACAACACGGCGATGCGGGTGCTGGCAGTCGGGGTCATACTAGTCGGGAGGCATGACAGGCAACTGTAGTCATGGGTTTCATCGGTTACCATGGTTACCTATAACGAGGTTAAACAAGATTTCGGTTGATTTTATTGGCGAAAAGAATCTGGAATACAGTGAGAAATCAATAGATCGTTTATTTTATATCTGATTCCCTTGGTTGATTTCTCATTCAAACACAGAGTCGCTCGTTTTCGAGGCAGACTGTGAACTTCATTGAAATAATTTACTGTAAACAGTGTTTGAATAGGAGGTCAGTGTTGGTCTCTCAACCAATCAAATGACAAAACATTAAGTACTGAAAATCCATTTGCCATTCTGTTGTTGTTTTGTTATATAACCTGTCGATTTTCCTTTGCAGCCCTCGTGGGAAATCGCTGACCCCATTATTAGCCTTGTGGGCGCATGTGTGGTTCTCTTGTCCACTTACAGTGTTCTAAGAGACTCTATTAATATCTTACTAGAAGGTATTTTACATAAATTATGCTATTCTTTATTTGAATAATTAGGGAATTTTGCATTATAATTCGTAATAAACCCAACAATAAGTCTCTCAGATTCAATCCGAAGTAGAGGTGACGTTTAATTAAACGCTTATTTTTCTTAAACTTGTCCTAATTTAGTTGTTAGTCACTCAAAAATGATGAAATTTCATAACACAAATTTCTCCACGGTCAAATGTCAGTTAGAAGTTTTTAACCTAATTGAAGGTCTTTGTAAAGTATACATTGTACTCTGTTGATCTTAGACGGTGCATTATGTGCTGTTCTTTTGAATTCTTATATTTTTAAGTTTGTGTTAATCGCACATGGTGCGCATAGACGGTAGCTCCATCAATAAGTAGAATAGATATCTATGTTACTGAACTCGCGTGAGGTCCCTATTGGAAAAATATTGGTCTTTTTGTTTGTTTGCAAGTTTTATGGACCCCGCCGCAGGCGAGGTGAATAAACTTGCGCTGAAAGCAGAACGAGACCAATATTCCCCAATACGAACCGGACAAGCTAGTTCAATAAAGCATTTCTTATAATGGCTATCATGATTTTAAAATTTTGCTGATAAATTAATACATCAATCCTCAGTAAGCGCGCGCCAAAGTTAAGCATATATTTGCATATTTCAGGCCGCTATCGTGAAAGTTTAACTGAAAGTATCCTCCAGGCATAAAGGGAACTTTGTTTGTGCAATGTTTCGGAAAATCAATTTGCTGAAACTATTTCTAAGCGGTCCGTCTTAACGGTCCGTATTGCAAAATTTGGAGCGCTCTGGGAACCACTCTGAATTCTCCTTTTGTCGTGGACTAATTTGCCATACAATAATTTTCAATAATATCAAACTGTGTATTAATTTGTCCAACATTAATTTCAGGAGTGCCTTCAAGCATACGGCTAGCTGACGTAAGAAAAGATTTGACGAGTACTGATCACGTGTTAAGCGTTCATAATGTGCATGTCTGGTCTTTAACCGCTGGCAAAACAGTGCTGTCGGCTCATATGGTCATAGGTACGTTGATATGTGATGTTCATGTCCTTATATGTCCTTATATGATTGTTTTTCATGTGACTGCACGTTTTCTTTATTTTAACATTTAAGTCATATATCGTACACTGCCGCTTATAAGCCCTGGGCTTATACAACTTCGTAAGGGCTTTTAGACGGGCTTATAAACGGAGGGGCTTATATCCGAGGGGGGCTTATAACCGGAATAAAGAAACCGTTTCGAAACGAACTATAGCTGCACATGTCAGTGTTGAACGAAATAGGTAGTTCACTTACTGGTAATTGAGCTTCTAAACATAATAAAAAGAATTCAAAACAAGGAAAGCTAGAGGGGGGCTTATATCTGGAGATATGTTTTGGTTTTCAAGAAGATGGGCAACCCTCTTAATGTTAGTTTTAAGAATTTGATGGCAAATCAATACAACTCCCCCCATGCAGTTGATGATTTTCTAATTCTCCTCACATATACTGACATCATATAAGAAGAAATTATAATTTTGAACAAATCAGATTTTTGAGACTTATCAACTTGGTCACTCTAAGCTCTTTCCCTTTTATTACCGATAATAATTTAACCCAGTTTCTAAAAATACGTCGTTTTGTTTCAACAGATCCTAGAACGGATGTTAACTCGTTGTTATCACTCACAACTCAGAAGATGTGTGACAAATACCACTTTTATCACACGTGTTTACAGCTGGAAATTCGATCAACAGAACGCAGAACTAATTTTCACCAAAATAACTCAGCACAAATCCCTGATCTTAGCAACGACGATTAAGAATCCTTGATTGCAGTGAGTACACCCCAACCGTGAACACTTGATCTTTTTTTGTACATATTCTACGTGAGATTACGTACTGCCCTAACCCTTATAAGAGAATTTATAGCGCGTTTTTACACTGTAAAAACACCAGTTTTGTACATCATCCAAATGAAGAGCTTTCATTTTATAGTTACTAACAAAATGTACCAAAACAAAAAAACGTCAAGTGTGCGTGGTTCGAGTGCCTTAACTGTATTCAGAGTAGCTTTTATTGACAAATAATTTATAAGTGTATTTAGCTACAAGCCTACAATCTCAGCTATGGATTTCTACTGCAGCTAAGTTCCTGAGAAAAAAATATTGACGTCGCAAATATATGATTGAAAAAGATTGAGCAGATACACTGCACGTTTTAAAAACAACGAAACAGAATTTTCAAATCCTTTCTCATCCATAAACTTTGAAATTCTAAGTTATCCCGAGTGTGGGTCGATGAACTTACCTGCGAAAAATGAAACAAAAAATGATTTTATTTAGTCAAAGTACCAACAAAGACATTAATATAAGTTATTTTGCGTTTATAACTGTGTTGTCTGTTTTTGTTTTATTTTGAAAAATGTTCATAGAAAAATGATTCTTGCAAAAAGTTGTCTGGCAACAATTTCAACTGTCATCTGAGAAATAACGAATTTTTAAATGGTAACTGGGATCTGAGATATGCTTGATTTGTTAGCGGATATGAGAAATCGCCGGAAATTTTATCATAAGTGGCATTTTAGCACTCCCATGTAACTCTCTGATATCGTTTCGAAAACCTGTGAAATATACTGAGAGTAGTTTGTAGCATCTCGTCATGTTAGAGGTTATATTACTGATCTGAACCCACCCCTTCCATTGGCACGATTTCCGAGGCTAATCCAGAGTAGGGTGAATTTGAATTTAGGTTTATTACTTTTCAGCGAGCGTTCTGTTTATATTTTGTGTCCATCACGTTTTCTGACGTAGATCAATTCTCAAATCTAGCTGACAAACAAAATGAGTTAACACACTCCTGTACACGAGAAACTAACCGTCTGTCTAACTTTTATAATCCGCAAAGGAGCTTAGTCATGGTATTTGGGGTTACATGTATTTTGGGCGGGTAAAACGTAACCTTTAAATTGAAGGAAACCTGAAAATAGTAGTTTACTAAGATGGGAAAAACACCAAGAGATAATAATAAATCATAAAGGAACAAGGATGGTTAAGGATGGAGAAGATTAACAAGGATTACAGACCATGAACTTGAAACATTTAGGCTAAACTTTTCAAGATTCCGCGCAAACCGTGATGTGGCTCCTGTAACAGGCTACCAAACAACTGATCACAACTGGGCGCCACGGTTCTTCAGCTGTTCATTCTGAAACTGGGCGATACCGGGTTTTTGGCCATTTCCTTATACATGTATGATCGTCAGTACAAAAGTTTGATTGGTTTCAGAGGGGTCTGGTACACCTTTGGAAGTATTTAGTAAACTTTTTTGTGATTGGATCAATGACTCATTTCATGAATTGCGCGTTTTTGCACAAATGATTAAGGCTGCAAACTAAAAACAAACACTGTTTGCTTTTCCACGTGAAGTTGAAATTACAAGTTCTGTCAAAACGGAATCAAACGCAAAACAGCTACATTTTGGGAAGCGTTTCCCGAAACTTTTAAGTTTAATGGACATGAAAATTCAAGCTGACCTATAAATTGAAAAAAATCTTTCAAAGTCCTCGCATGCATGTAAATAAAGCAGCATAGATTAGTCATATACAGTTCCTTTGTTCAACACAACATGCCAGTGTTCTTCTGTTTTTCAGACGGATTGTTTATTCAGAGAACAAAAGATTGAAGATTCACGCTCAATTGAGCTTCAGCAAATATGAATAATACAACAGTGAAATTATTCTAACGGTAGCAAAAAACTGGCGGTTTTTTTTCTGTTGTATTTATATTATCACAGACCGCGCTCAACTGATGGACCAAAGAGATGTAGTGATTTATAGAGGCCTTGGAAATGGCTTGCTTCCAGGCTCGCCATGAATATGGCGAAGCTTGGAAGCTAGTTTAACTGTAAGGAGGGATTTTTACAGAAACTTGGGTGAGCGCGTTTCCGTAATATCGCGTATTGAAGTCGAATCATTTGGTCAGCCAGCTAATAAACGAAACGCGTAAGGTGACTTGGAAGGTTAAATACCGATTTAAATTGCACCAGGTAAGTTGCTATCTGTTTGTTTGGAAGTTTAGTAGTTGTTTTACATCGACTAGTCTCTCAACGTGAACAAGTTTAAAATTTTAACGGTAAAATCCGAGTCTCGAAAGCAGCACTTAAATTTGAATATTAATTTATAAGTTTTTCTGCCGAAAATAGATCGAAGTACCTTCTAATAAAGTAATATTAGGATGTATTTTTAATTTTTAGAATGATACTTCGACGATTTATTAGTTTAAGACTTATTAAGCAGCTGCAAGTAACAGAGACTGCGGAACTATTTCAAAAGAATGTTGATTCTATAATTGTAGTCTAAAAATGCACTAGAGGTCTTCTGTAGTTCATGTGAAATAGCGTACTTCCTTTTATTTGGATGTTATTATCAGATAGTCCGGGCTTATTTTGATTTCTTACTTCTTTCGAATATTGCTAGTTCGTCAGCCACGAAATTACTGAAGTAACAGAAAAAAAAAAAAAATACATCCTTTGATTAATAAGGACTACTAAAATGGTTCGTGTTTTGGCGCCAGCTCAGGGGCAATCCGCACAAACACGGCAAATAGATCGAATTCACTGTCACCATTAAAAGAAAATTTATTGCTAAGTTTATTCCGTACTGGATTTCAAAACTATTTGGTTATACTGATTTGTGCCTAATTAGTATGTTAATAATGATGTCACGCAACGATTACCAATTATAAATTTGGCGGCAACTGTGTGCATTGAAGTGTCAATCGCATTACTAGCAATCCAGGCAGAGTTTTCGATTTCGTTCTGTCCTTCTCCTTGATTTTTAAATACTCTTTTTAATAAACTTCATTTGAGTCGAACCAGAACTGTTCTGTTTCATTCAGGTGATTCAGTACTCAGGGTATACCTTTCTATGCTAATATAATTATTTCCCTCATTAATAACAATTACTCGAGCGTAGTAAAATCAAGTGCAGTTAATCCGGAACTGTGTAGTCTTTTACTCTTAGCCTTTGTTAAGTGCTAGAACTTTCTCTGTACGATTCTTCTTCTCTAGTATCGAGGATATTTTCTGACGAAGTTGTGGACTTGTAACAATGAAAAGGACTAATCATAATCACTGCTGTTTAGCTCGTACACAGAAGTTTTTTTGCGCCAAATTCACTCAACTGAGACTGTAATTAACTCCCCTATTCCAAAGAATAAAGTTCAACCAAAACTTTAAGGTGCAGATAAAAATAATTTTTGTTGCTATGATCGGTCTAGAGACTCTAGCAAGACCAACTGGATCATATTTCGAGTTTGAAGTGAGGAACACTGATTTCTCGGTTGCCGGTTGTGAAGTTTGCGTCATCTCTAGTTTCCGTAAGAAAGATTAACAGCTGAATTTTACAATGTAATTAAGTGTCGATTTAGATCTGCTTAATTAATTCTCTACCTTTACTTTCTAATATTTTAACTCCCGAGTTATAAAGAGATTTATCCCGAGGGGGAACTTCGGACGGGGTTGTTCGTCGTACCTTTTAGGGATCAAAAGGGCAATTTTGGTACCTCTTGGGGTGTTCATGCTCAAAAGGTCCACAGTGGGAGCTTTCTCGATACTTTTTAGGGTATAGCGCCAAATAAAATATGCCAGGAGATAATGGTACCTCTTGGCGGTGAAAAACATTTCAAGCCACGTTCACAACACCGAATCTTGGTACGTCTTAGGAGTTCTTTTCAAAATTTCCGACCAGCAACCCGTCTTATTTTATATCAATCTTTTATATATAAATCGTCTATTTTTTGTAAATCTCTCACCGGGAGATTTATGCGATAATCGATTTAAGTTTAAGTCAGTTATTTCGGGCGCGAAGTTAACAGAACAAAGAAAAGATAAATGAATTCGGAATATAATTACACATGCATTCATTGGCCGATTCATTCTTATGTTTGTATTAATACCAGTGAGTACAACTTTAAAATTTAGCACTGAAACTTGACAGAGATAGCCAGAGAGCGGGTTAAAAGGAGAGTTAAGACGAAAATGTAACTTACATCTTATGCATCTTCTCCGCCTTGCAATTGATTGTTTTTCTTTCTTCATTTTTCTTTGCTTTTTCTGTTTCTTGCTGGAATGAATATCCCTGTGATGTTATTTTAAGTTCGGAGGATGTAATGTTCATAACGTCACAAGCGTTAGGCCGCGAGTCCCCTCCTTGATAGCTTAGGTTTTCTGTCTCTTTTGCGCTTTGTTTATTATCCTTTCTTGACTTTCCTTGAGTCTGGTAGAAAGGGGGCTGAAATGGAAAGAGATGGGGGGTGGGGGGGTGGGGGGACACTCCTATATATAAGCTTTCTGGTATGTCCCGCTGTGAAGGGTATCGTTTTCGGGCAATTTAGTCTGGGATAGGGTATGGAAGTCAGACAGTTTTGTTCAAGAATAGGGTATAATTTAGCGGAGACGTGGCCAGTGTATAAATAATTTAGTCTAGAACAGCGTCCTTTACCCGGGGGTCTATAATAGAAATTGAAACCCAAAGTGACTTTTTAAGATATTGGTTTAGTTAACGTATGTTAGACTACGATAGTGATAAATTTCTTGTTGGAAAACAGCTAGTCTGGGCTTGGTTAAGGGTTTTTGGTGCCTAGTCTAGAATAGTGCGGCAAAATCAAGCTGATTTTAGTGTCCCAGCGGCACACCCCTGCCCAATTATGTACAGAGTTCTCCCGGGGGCTGAAACTCACTTGATTCGTTCCTCTCAGGGAGATTCAAACCACGTGATCATGTTAGGAGTGGATGCGATTCTTATTATCATAGTCAGCCTGGTGCTTTCGTTGGTGATCGTTTTATACATTGCCCTGGTATTGAAGTTCGTAATGAGGAAGGCGAAGGAGAAGAGCGTTCCTAATGACCCACAGACCTCTTTTATCGAGCGCATGTCTGGGTGGCATCCCTTTAGAGTGGCAAATACCAAATGTGTACCTATACAGCCCAGGACGTATGATGAACTTAAAAAGGTAAAAACTAAAAGTATTTTTTGATGAGTGCGCGGCTAGGATCTGCTAACAAATATCTTGCGAAGGGAGAGATCTGGGAGCGAGGTTAGCTGCAGTTACTTAATCATTCTTTCTTAATTTATTTACCCTCTTTTATTAAATTCAAGACAAGTTTTCAAAGGATACTTGGACGAAATTCGCTCACGAAAGGATGTGGGGAATCGTAATCAATGAGGGTTTTTATATAAACCACTAATCACATAGAAAGATCATGAACTGATTATATTTCACGGATAGTCTTCAACTTGCGATTGAAGTTTTTGTCTTGATCAAACATCAAATTCTCAGAACTAACGTGAAAAGAAATGCGTGAAAATGAGTAAGGAGAATCGATATTGTGAAGGTGACTTTCATTGAAGGCGTATTTGTAACAACCCCTTGCACGTCTTTATGTCAAGAGCTGGGCTCCTGTTAATTTATGTCAATAATGTGGATTGATGAGTATGAAGATTCTTTGCAGAGCGAGGAGAAGTTAACGGAGACAGGATCTATGACCAACTCACCTGAAAAAACCGCCGGCAAGATCAAACTCTCGTTGCAATACGACTCCATGAGGTAATAGGGTTCAAGACACCTACAGAGCACTTCTTCTCAGCTACATAAAAACGGTTTATTTGTCTTGATGGCCTAGTCAGCAGTCAAAACGGACATTAATAGAAATGTATGGGGAAATATTTTGACCTTGGAAAACAGACTCAGGCTTTAACGACTTGATATGGCACGAATCAAAGCCTGATTATTTTACAAATAATTTCATTTCTTATTGGTAGCAAAACTGTAGTTTGTACAGTCAACCCTCTGTTAAGCGGTCACCCTCTATTAAGAGATCACCATTCAAATTCCCGAAATTCGCTTCACGTGTTTACATCTGGATGCGGCACTGTTTGGACTTCCCGATTGGCTAATTTTACTGTAATTCCCCTCTGTTGAACGGTCAACTTGTTACA